GAGATTGTTCTAGAATCTAGATGATCTATTTCAGCTTTGAGATTCTGTTACTCTGTACCCAGCCATGCACCTAATCCAGGGGACAGTTTGTTAATCCTGAGCTTGAAGCATGTATGGGAGAGGCCTTCTAAAGGTCAGGCCAACCTTTGTTGCCTCATATACAGAGGGTGCCAAAAAAATGTATACACATTTTAAGAAAGGAAAAACTGTATTAATATATACCGATAACAAGAGATGAATACAAGTCACGTTTGACTTCTGCAATTACAAGAGGTGCTCAAAGTGGTTACCATCAGCGTCCAGACACTTCTGATTATGGTGAACTACTGCTTGAGCAACGTTGACCAAAGTGTTAACATCGCTTAAAACGTGTATACATTTTTTTGGCACCCCATATAAGGGACTCCAAGGGTAGAATTTTCTCTAGGTAAGGAGGAGAGGGCAGGGCAGGGCAGGGCCCACCTGGCCTGGTGAGAGAGAGATTTGGGGAAGGCAGGCCTTTGGGCCCCATATGTCAGTTTCTGTGGATAGCTATCTACTCTATTTTTCTTAGACCCAGCCCTGGAACTCACCTCACAGGGTAACTTTGACAGAAACATGGCACCTTTTCTCCTGTGTGGTTCTTATCTGACCAATGACACATCCTCACAAATGACAGGTGTGAGGGAGCACCTGCAGTGTAGAGGTGGAGGATAACCAAAAAACAAAAACAAAAATAAAACAAAAACAAACAAACAATAACAACAAAAAACAAACCACAAAGCAAAGAGGAATATGCAAAAAGCCTATAAAGGACAAAACGCTTACTACAACAAAATTTCACAGCCTAGTTGGAGACAACACCCACACAGAAAACATAGAGGAAAGGAAAGAGTTTCAGAGTCAGAGACCTGAATTCATATCTTGGCTGTGGTACTTACTAGCTGGGTAGCATCAGGCAATTACTTTATCTCTCTGAGACTCATTTACCTAATCTGTAAAATGGGATTAACAGTACCTATTTTGTAAGATTGTTGCAAAGATTAGAGATGACATATATGTGATTGGCACATAGAGTCTGGCATTTAATAAACCTTAATAAATTGTAGCTATTGCTGTTTTTATTATTTTTGCTACAGGACAAATAAATTGGGAAGAACTAACTAAAAGTGAACTTGGAAAGGGAAGAACCTAAATGATGTATGAGCCGGAGAAGTCAGGGAAAGCTTTGTTGTTCACTGACGACAACGAGTACCTACTAAGTGCTAGGTGCTATGCTATAGGTTCTGGGGATCAAAATAGATGTGAAACTCTACAACCAAGGAAGTCGAGTTGATAGGCAATGAACAAATAAATAAAAAGCAATTTATGATCATTAATTATGTCTTATCAAGGAAAAGAACAGGGTATTATATAAGAGACACTAACAGGGTACCTGATTTAGATTGTGGGAGGAATCAGGGATGACCTCTCGGAGGGAGCAGCCTTTAAGCTAAAGCTAAAGGAAGATTAACAATGATCTCCACATGGACTTCAGGGAAGAGCCTTCCAAGCTGAGGGCACATCATGTGCAAGGCGCCGACAGGTGGTTTAGGAACTGAACAGATGTGTCTGGAGCATTGTAAGGATGGAGGGATGAGGTGAGAAATGTTTGGGAAGGTGGGCAGTTGGCTGGATCACATAAGGCCTTGAAAGCCAGGGTAAGAATCTGGTATTTTATCTTAAGGGATCGAATGCCACTGGAGGGTATGAAGCAGAGAAGTGATGTAAATAAGATCACTTTGGGTGCTGCGAAAGGGAATGGATGGGATAAGACTGGAGGTGGAAAGATGAGTTACAGTGGTTCAGGGGAGAAACCAATGGTGACTTGGTCCAGGATGAGGGGCAGAGATGAAGGGACGTGATGGGATTCGAGAAGTACTTGGGGGTAGAACCGACGCGGTATGATGATGGATTAGATATGAAGGACGCGGCAGGAGGCGTCTAGTAGGCTTCAGGAGCCTGGTGGGAAAAGGTTTAATCCATAAGGGTGGTCCTGAAAAGAAATCCATCAAGTACCAAAATGGAGGGCAGATGGAGAGAGAGCGGGGAACTCAGCCTGGAGCTGGGCTTGAAATGTGGGCCAGGTTAGGACAGGCAGCAGGAGGATGGAAAGGAGAGCATACCGGGAGGGAAGCAGCACGATCCAGGTGACAAGGTAGGCACGAGCTTGCCTCATACCACGTAGGTGGCACCGAGTAGGGTGAGTCGTGCCAGAAGGTAAGGGTGGACACTGGGACACAGGGTGTGCAACAGGAGTAGGGAAAGAGCTGGGGTGGGGCCTGATTACGCCAGGCCCCTGGAGCCAGGCAGAGGTATCAGCCTTGATGTCAGAGATAAAGGGAAGCTGTATGGGCTTAGACTGGCAGTCAGCCAGCCAGGCAGCCACCCATCCGTCAGTGTTCTAGGTCTGTGTGTGGGGCTGCCGAGACACAAATAAGCAGCCACACAGCTTGCACTTCCTGAAAATATTTACTAACAACCTATTCTGATCATAGTATGGGGCGTTTATAGAGAAAGCCTCTTGGCTCCCAGAATACCACCTTCTCTTTGGTTTCTTCCAACCTCGTTAGTTATTCCTTCTCAGTCTCCTTTCACGGCTCTTTTGCCTCTGGCAGGCATCTAGAGGTGAACAGCAGGAGGCCACAGGTTGTGCTTCTTCTTTTCCGCCTCTTCACCCCTTCCTTTGGAGATCTCATCCAGCTCCGTGGCTTTAAAAACCATCTATATTCTGCTTTATGTATTCAAGCCCATTATCTCCCCCACCTATCTCCTGAGTTCCAGCCCTTGTATTTTCAAATGCCCATGTGACATCTCCACTTGGATATATAATAGGCACCTCAAATTTAAAACGTCCAAGATAGAGGGCCGGCCGAGTGGCTCAGTTGGTTAAGAGCTCGCTCAAGAGTTTGAGCTCTGAGCAACAGCGGTTCAAGTCCAGCCCGAGCTGAGCAGCCGCTGAGCTGCCAACAGGTAGCAGGATGGCTCAGCTAAAAAAATAATAATTAAAAAAAAAATTAAAATAAAACGTCCAAGATAGAAAACTCCAGTCCCCTCCACCTCAACCCATTCCTACCTTGGTGTTCCCCAGTTGAGTAAGGGGTCCTCCCAGTTATTAAGGCAAAAACCTAGGAGGTATCTTTGATTTCTCATTCTATATGCAATCTATCAGTAAGTCCTGTGAGTTCTGCCTCCAGAAAAATCCACTCTGTCCACTTCTCCTTTGACATTACGTCTACCCTAATCAAGACATCACCATTTTCTCCTAAACTACAGCAAAGCCTCCTTGCTTGTTTCTGTTACCTTGCTTATCCCCCAGGCAATCCATTCTCTGCCAACTAGCCAGTTATCTGTGTAAAACACAAATGAGATAAGGTCTTCCCTCGGATGGCTCACCACTGCTTCAGAACACCAGAGCTGCTTTCCACAGCACCTGGACCAGTGTAAGCTCTGACCTCATCTTCCATCACTGACTTCTTCCTTTCGTCCCCTGCTCTCTGCTCCCCAGACACACTGGTGTGTTTTTTTCTCTGCTTCTAGAACAGACCAACCTGGGCCAACCTCAGGGCCTTTGCACTTAGGATTTGCTCTCTTTGGAACATTTTTCCATCAATCTTCTCATGGTTCCCATCTCAGTTTAAATGTTACCCTCCTATCTGAGGTCTCCTCCCTGCTGCCAGTCATGCTCTAGTACATATTTTGTTTTGATATCTTTGACATAAAAATAGTCATATATTTATTTATGAGCTGTCTCCCCTATTGAAACATAAGTTTCAAGAGAGCTGGATCTTGTCTGACCTGCTCAGAGCTCTATCTCCCACTCCTAGAACAACACTGCGTGCACAGAGGAAGCTCGGTAAATATTTGTTCAATGAGTGAATAAATGCTTTAGATGTGGCTCCTGGTCTTTTTTAAATGGAAGATAATGTAATAAGCCACAGGAAGTATTACCTAAGAATACAGAGCAGGTAACTCTAAGAAGTGATTCACAGCTAGTTTGAGAATGATTTTTGCTGAAGTGTTGCTGAATGACAATATGCTACTCAATAATGTCAGCCTGTAATGGGGCTCTAGAAAGACGACGGTATAATCCATAGGCTGCTCCTGGAGGGAAACCCCTCAAGGACCAAAGTGGAGGGAAAATGAGGCACTATTTGAAGATTGGTGGGTCCTTGTGGTTCCCTCCAAATTTGCCATGTAAGTAATCAAGGACTCCTCTGTCACTGAATGCACATGCACCCTCCCCAATCATACACCCCGCCACATACATATGCTCCCTAACATTACACCCCCTCTTGCAGAGCTGACTGAGATTCTTCTTATCTTGTTCACATATTTCATAAAGATCTTAGGGGATGATGAATTGACCAGTTTCTGAGAAATTCCATGGAAATTTGCAAAAATAAAGCACCTATTAAAAACTCTGATATTTCACCAAAAATCTTAGTAAGTTACAGTACCGGCACATAACGGAATATTATTCAGCCATTAAAGTGACAATTATGAAGTTATAAGTATCATCCTAGAAAACATGCATGACTAAAATTTCAGGTTAAGAAAACAAACCTGGGCATAGATCTGATATAAATATTATAAGCACAACTATAGCAACATTATCTATGGAGAAAAGGGGCTGAAAGGGGATAGTTATTGTGTTGAGTTAATGGGATTGTGTTGGATTTTACCTTTCCATTATATATATATGGAAAGGTAAAGATTAAATACGTCTTTGTGTGGTTGGCTCTTTCCCAGCCATGTGGCCCGCCTGCACTTCCCTCAAGCAGCTGGAACAAGACAGCTGCCGTGGGCACAGCCTCATTCCTGCACCATGTCAGGCATGGGGATGACAGGGGCAGAAGGAAAGAAGTGGTCATAAAGTCATAACAACAGCAGCAACAATGGTCAACATTGCTCCAACTTCATATGCTCCAGGCACTCTGCTAAGCATGATATTTACTCCTCACATTCTTTTTTCCCCGTAGGTGAGGAAACTGAAGTCTGAAGAGGTGAAGGAACTGGTCTGCGGTCACAGGGCTGGTAAATGACAGAGAAAGGTACGGAACTCCAGTCTGATTCCACACCCCATGATCTTAACCACTCTCACAAAGACAACAATACTCTTACAAATATTAAACCACTGTGTTTCAATGGCTCCTAAAACTTTTGGCTGGCCACCTCTAAGTGTGAGTCAGGAGACTTCTGAAGGCAGGGCAGGCAGAGGCAGGCCACTGACCTCTCTAGCAGGCAAACACCTGGCACATCACCCCCTGCAGTGTATCAGGAACAGGCCTGGCCTACTGGACTACAGAGACTTCTGGACAGGAGGTAGAGTCAGGAAGGGAAGGGGAGGAAAGCCTACTCATTGGGGGCTGGAGGATTACAGGAAGGGTGGGAAGGTGTGAGCAGTGGGGCAGGACCCTTGATCACTCTTCACTTGTGACTCTGAGAAGAGTCACAGCCAGGGGCCCTGGCACCTGCATGGGGCGGTCTTTCTGGTCAAGGGGTGGAGTAGTGTCCTCAGGGGGGATTGGTCAACCTCCAGCAGCCCTCAGTTACCTTGTGTGGTAGACACTGGGTTGACAGCTGCAACTATGAAGTGGAATCTATTGGAGCAAGTTGACCCCATGCTCGAGGCCCAGGATGGACCCACTAAGCCAGGGTCCAGACAGAGGGTCAGGTAGAACAGATGGGTCCATATAAAGTGAAGGGGCCATGACCGGTGCTCCCTATGAGTGAAGCCCAGGCTCACAAAAGGAAGCAAGGCTAGGCTTGTGCTGAGCTCAGCCTGACACAGTCACCGAGACCCTAGCAACCAGAGGGCCACAAGAACACTGACCCCTCCTCAATGGCTGGGAGCCTCCCGGAAGCTCACACACCACCCAGAGGAGAAGCTGGGGGAGGCAGATGTGGATTCACTGATAAAATTACCTAAAGACACTGTTCAATTTTTGTAGCCCATCAAATTTGCCAGAAGAGATTTATTTAAGGGTTTCTCTTTGCTGACCAACAGGCGGGGTCCATGAAGAAGGCCAAATAAGTTCATTCCCTCCAACTCCCTCTGAATTGCACATGACATTCATGCCTCTCTCTTACCACTATGCTAGACTGCACAATTTGAGCATCTGTTATGTGTCAGGCATTCTGCTAGGTCCTTCACATGCAGGATCTTGTCCACTCTCCTCAGTAGCATATTAATAGAAATATCTTCCATCTCAGATCTCCCATCAACTTGCTGTGTTACCTGAACCCCTATGAGTCTCAGTTTCTTCATCAAATGGGGATACTAATCGCTTTCTAGCAGAGTGTCAGGCACAAGGAATGCACTCAATAAAATGCTGTCATTGTTTTAGTTAACAGTTTTTTGGGCACAGAAGCAGGTAAAGACATGTAGGTAATGAGGGTGGGGGTGAAGGAACTCCTCTGGGAAAGAAAGGAATTAACAAAACACAACCTCTTAACTCTGCAGCAACACAGGTGAACTGATTCAGTCAGGAAAGTAGGGGTAAAATTTAAGGGGCCAGGAGCCCTCTGTCCAGGAACGCAGACATACCTGAGAGCCCCATGGGGCCATTGGAAAGAGAGGTGGGAGACTAGGAGTTTCCAGGTCCTGTGTTTGCTCAAACTCACTGACATTTCTTCCTGACCTGCTGTCTTCTTCATCCCCTTGTAGGTTCTGTGGGACAAACACATCAGCTCCCAGGCCAGGGTGGCCTTCCAGGGCCTGGAGAGTTATCCCAGCCACGTCCATGTCAGGCTGGGACATGGAGCTCCAGGCAGGCTGTATGGATCTGGGGCTGGTTCTTAACAGTGAGGCATCCAAGTACCCTTGGGAAATTTCAAGAGTTTTGCAAAAAAGTGAAAGCAGTGCCATCTGATTCCTTCTGAGGATAAATATCCTGATGCATTATTAAAAAGTGAAGGAAGTCAGGGCTTAGCTAAAGGAGTCCCACATCTCTGTGAATATTTCTAACAACTAGGGCTTACTTTGGTGGAGAGAACTTTCTTGTGTTGCATGAAAAGCAAGCAGAAAGCTCGAATTCCACTCACATAGAGCAGCTCTTGGTGAAGAGAGGCCTGCATTTCTGCGCTGGGATACAGGCTCAGAGATAGCTCCTCACTGCTCAGATGCTATTTTTAAAGTTGTGAAACTCAATATATCAGTGGGGAGCAGTCAGGGGGGAGGGCTGGAGGTAGAGTGGCTGAGGCCTCCAGGCCCCTGAGGGAGACTCACTTTCCTGGGAAGATAAAGCCACTCGTTTGGCTCTTGGCTGCCATTCCCAGATCTTTCTTTTGAGCCCTGAAAATAAATCCCAGGCCTGGTATTCAGGGCCCATGGTGGGGGCCACCGGTCAGAAGAGAATTTAATAATTTACTATGATTCTCATTTCAACCCTTTCTTTGGTTTAATTAATGCCGTGTCTGGCAGCTGAAGGAGAATGCATCTGATAAAGTTAGTCTATCAGGACATGAAAAATTGAGGTCGCGAAACGGCCTGGCCCACTGTCACAAATCTAACAGGAAGTCAGCCTCTGCTTCCCCGGAAACACCTGTCAAGGAAACCTGACGTACACCAATCACAATCCTCCAACTCAGCTTCAGCTTGTTTACCTCACCTTAGAAAATAGGACCTGCCCACTATATAAGGAAATCTGCCCGCGACCTCCTAATCGATCATATCTTGTTTCCAAGGTTTCTCTTTAATGCTCTGTTTAAGTCGCCCTTGCCCCAAATCCCTCGGGAAGAGTGCGCCACTGCTTGTGAGGCACTGCACTCCCTCAGTCCACGGGCTGTTTTCCCTTGAATAAAGGACATCAAACTTGTTACTAAATTTTTAGTTTTGTCATTGGACGCATCATAGCGTCATGTTACAAGCATAAAAAGGAAAAATAAACCCTCCGTGTTCTGTTTACAACTGTTCTAAAATGTACATTCGAAAGGCGCACTTTCTGTCTCTCTGAGTGTCTTGCCTCTGAGTGATCCAGCATCCTCACTGGTTGGGGACACCCTATCCTCCCCCACCTCAGGCCTCTTTCCTGAGGCTGTGGTTTTCCAGTGGTGACTATATCTGGTCTAAACAGTCAGACCCACGGTGGACAGACCACAGTTATGTATTTGTGTGGGAGATGTCAGGTAAAGTGTGGCATTCCTGTTTGTGCTCAAGGGCAGCAGAATTCCCTCCTTCCCCCTATTCCACTTTGGCATAAGGATTATTTTGAGCTGAAGGCAGCTGAGAAGAAGCAGATACAAGAAAATGCCCCCTCCCTGCCCCCATTTGTCTAAAAGCACAACATAAATTTACAAAGGTGTCCCTCCTCCCCTCTCTACCAGGAGGTACAACAGGTAATAGTCACTCATCAGCCCAGAGAAGCACAGAGGAGTCCACACACCAAGCTTTAGTAACTAGCCCTTACTTTCCATTAATTTCCCCATGTTTGCCTTCCTACAATTTGCTGCCCTAGAGACTCAATGTCCTTTTCCTTTGTCTTGACACTTCTCTAAAAATGTATTGTCCCTGGGCTAAGATGCTATATAAACCCAAGTCCTAATCACTCACTCAAAGGAGTTACTGGCTACTAAATGCTCCCACGTGTTACATGCTCCATACACCTTAATAAACTTGTTTGGTTTTCTCTTGTTAATCTGTCTTTTGTCTAATTTACATGACCCCAGGCAGAGAACCTAAAAGGAATAGATGTTTCATCCCTTATAGTGTTATTTGGGGAAAAATAGCTTGAATGACAGTAATAATAATGATAAAAGGAGATAATGTCTTTTCAAGCACACAGAGTCCCTTTACAAACAGTAAGCAGTTTGGAAGAGACCTGCATAGTTGTCAGATTTATCAGCATAGCATTTAGTAGCTTACAAAGCAGGTTTGCTTATGTTTTCCATTTCTTAGGGGCCTCATTCCTGGAAATCATTATTAGAAACCAGTGCCAGCAAATGATTAGGGAAAAGGCAACTATTCATGGAGTACCTGTGCAGATGCCAAATATGACTATCACATTTTACTTTTTATTTTGCTACAAGAGAGGAAACATGAGATTGGAAGAAAAAAAAATTCTGTGGATGGAGGTAATCTAATCTACATGGGCATTTGAAGCCAAGCTTCCTTGGCTTCTAGGTCAACTTTCAGAATGCGATGGGGAAACCTGGATTAGACTAGGTATTGACAGGTGATAGCTGAAGATTAATGAATTAAATACCTGATTGTATCTAGATGGTCTCATTTCTCTAAATCTTAACCCAATTATAATTTAAAAAATAAATATATTAGAATGGGGTAGTTTAAAGGTTCTTTTGGTAAATAATTTTTAGTCTTAGTCAAGGTGAAAGGAAGCCCAGGCACCACCGTTCGGAGCCCTCTGCCCTGCGCATAGCATCAGGAAGGGGCTGCTATGGTTCCTCCTAACTCTGCCACCCGCCCATGCCAGTGAGACACAGAATGGGCTCTGATTCTAGGCAGCCAATCAGTCTGATCCTTGGCCAAGGGCTTACCTGGTGCTTGCTGGTGGTGGCAGAGCCGAGGGCCCTGCGTGAAGAGCAAAGACCACGACTCACTGAAGAGTTGGCAGAGAGAGCAGCCTTTTGGGTTCACCGGGTGTGGGCCAGGGAGAGAGGACACAAGACTTTCTTCCCCTGCCTCCTCTTTTTTCTTCCTGCCCTGGAAGACCCTCTCATTGCTTGGGGGCACTTCCCCTTACCGTGGTCCTGACTTCAGGGATGCTCCAGGGGTGGTGGGGATTTGGGGGGTGGAGGGACCTTGGAGGGGTAAGGAGGAGACAGGGAACACTCCCGCACAGTTCCCTCTTCTCCAAGCCCCACATCTAAAAGGCTTCAGCTCTATCCAGCCTCAGTCCATACTTGCTTCTCACTTCAGGCTTGTGCCTCAGCTCTTGGGGCAAAGCACCTAAAACACCTTTCCTTCGAGAAGGAAGATGAAGTGATTTTTAAGCAACAAAAGCCTAATTCATTTTGTTTGAAAAAGAGGGATGGGGCTTTATCAAAAGGGGCTGATTTATCTTTAGCCATGGATATAGGGAGGTAATAATCAGTTAGAATATCTCCTTAAAGGTCCATGGAAAAGTACTGGGTGACATCAGGAAAGGCTTGGTGCTTCTCCAGAAGTCCTGATTCCAAGCTGGATGAAGGGAGGCCATTAAGCAGCTGGCGTGGGCTTGTGGGGTGGCCAGGTGTCCCCACAGCTCCAGAGCATGCTGCTGGCAAGTTACCCAACCTTTCTGAGCCTTGGTTTCTTCATTTGTTAAACATGGATAATAAAGATGATGTTAGCCTTACAGAAGTGTGAGAATTCATACCTGGCAAATACTAGGCTACAATTAATGTTAGTCACTTTTGTGCCTAGCCCCCATTACATAAAGTATAGCTTCGATAACCCAGCTTACTACCAGAATGGATTCATATGAATGTTATAGATCTGTTATAACTTTA